TGCACTTCAGTATTGTAGTACATTATAAAACAGTATGCAATAATAACGTATTGAGTGTAAATTATAATTTTAATTTTAATTATTAAATGGATGCCACCTTATTGGTACAATAAAGCCCTCCCTACACCTACCTGGAACTAACCGTTTTATAATACGAATAAATGTTTATTTCTGACAGTTTACTAGTCTTTAATTAAGTTAGTTAGGCCTGCCATTTAAAATGCTGGCATTATAACAACCTTATTTCCAGCAAAAATGACTATACCATGATTATATATCGTGAAATAAAATGACTCCTATTGCGGTTTGGGTCATATCACCCACCCCTAGACATAAACAAAGATCAATCTGTATGTGTGTATCAATAAAAGACTCTTAGCTGTCCGTCTGCTTTCCCTGGATGTGTGTATCAGTGAGCTTTTCCTTGAATCGTTCTCCTTCAGGATGAGCTCCGCACCGGTGAGAAAGCAGGGGTCCGGTTCAAGTTCATCAAACACCCGGAGTACCTGAAGGTGGGTGCCAAGCTGCTCTTCAGAGAGGGAGCAACCAAAGGCATCGGCCAGGTCACCAAACTACAGCCCGCGTCCCAGTACCAGCAGCAGCCCTGATGCGGCGGCACCCATCCGGCTCCTCACGCTCTCCAAACACAGCCTGAACAAGCAGCTCTTCTCACCGGATCGCCTTCCTCGTATCATAGACTCAGATCTCCACTCGCAGTGTAAATGTCTTTTAACTCCGTTTACAGTCATCCAAACAGCTGTGTTTTTAGCATTCAGACGGCACTGAATAACACTTGTGCGGCCTTTATGATGACAGAATCCTCCAGCCATTATTCACTAACCAAAGGACAGAGATTGTGAATTTAAAGACACCGTTTTTTCTTTAGGTAGTTGGGGATCTTTTTATTACCGATGTCAATGAAGAATCTCGTGGCAGCTGCAGTTGTGAGAGTGTGCAATCATCGCTCTGCTTTACCAAACGCCAGAAACCGACCTCCACGTCTCTGATGTCTTTTTTATTTATTTTAGTGTTTTGTAAAGAGGTTTGTTACTCCTCATCAAGCTTTAACAGTACACTGTGTGTTCTGCGCTCTTTCACCATCGCTGCTTCTGAGCGCATCAGAAGTGCCTCTGCCTTGTGTCTGCCTGCACTCCAGTGCTTTAGTAACTCAGGAAAGGGTTACATTCACAGAGCACTAATTATGCAAAGCAGTCCTTTTTTCCTGCTCTCTGTCGCCTTTTCTCTCTTCGGTCTCTAAGCTGCAGTGACTAGTATAGTGTGCTACTTTTAGAGGCCTCGGTGTTTCTCTGAACACTTGGTTTGGTGCTAATGCTGTCGATTGACTTGTTTTTAGTTGTTGAACAGGGCTCTGTTAGCTGGTTCTGGCCTCAGCGCTGTCCTGTAACCACCGCATGCATGTTTGTCTCAGTACTGAATCACATATCGGGACACACGCTGTGTGTGACTTTCATGCTCAAGTTTCTACCGTATCACTGTTCTGTGTGCAATTTTAGAAGAAGAATATTGAACCAAAAAAAAAAAAAGTGCATTTATATAGAATGTCATAGAGAATTCTGATGTTTTAGTTACTTAGATTTGTAATCATTTCTAGTCATATGCAATTTTTTGAGTGACGTCTTGTTTTACACCAAATGTCACTTTTCTGGCTTCACATGCTAGATGTTTTATTTTTGATATTTTTAAATATTTTAGCCTTTTTGGTGAATTGGCATTTTTATGTACAAATTTGTTTGTATATTGTGATGTACATAAATAAACGTTTATTACAGTTTATTATTGACAGTGATTGCATTGTTTGAGCTCGTCTCTCACGGATTCAGTGGAAAGGTGAGCTTTCTTTCACCAGTAACCTACAGATGATGCAAGACGCTGCAATCCAGCCTGTTTTCTATTGACCAACTCAAACTCAAACGGGACAGTTGATGATTTGTGTTGTATCACAACACTTTGTCTGCCACACAGTTACAGGAAGTGAAATTCACCTCAACCTCACCTCACAATTACTGACTGGCTTCCTTGGAAAATATGAGCAAAGAAGCCTGTGAAAATAAATGTGCTTTGTTTATTCTTTTGAGCTTTCGTTCCAAAAATGAAAAATCTAACATTTCTTTGAAGTAAAATAATTGAATAGTTGGGGGGTCGAGATTCTCATTATGAAATAACTGTTTTCTTCCAACACACTGTGGAGCACAATTATTAGCACCCCCTAGAAATTATGAATAAAGTCTCTGAAGTATATGTTCCCATTCATGTTTGCATATTTTAGAACAGGGTGACTAGGAACATGAAGTAGGGCTGAACAGATCGATCCTGATCTATCCTCACATAAAAATATCCGTCCAAGTGTTTCAAGCCTAAAATAAGCTTCAAAGTAGAAAGCTTTGAAAAAAAAAAAAAATTATTGAACCAAAAAAATGCTAGTGAATAACTGTAGGATACTATTTTGTCCTGCTCATGTGAACGCATTTCATTCATCACCCCCATATAAACAAGTTGAAATTGAAATGTAAAAATGTATATTTTTAACTAAATTCAGCCTTAGTGAGCAGAAGAGACTTCTTTCAAAAGCATTAAAAACCTCAAACTTTCGAGCAGCAGTGCACATGTAACGTTTATTATAATTAGGCTAGTTTGTGCAATTGAACATAGCTATTTAAATTGATCATTAAAATTCAGACAGACTGTTATGTTCTGAAATTGTTGCTAATAAATCTGTCATGGGAAGAAAGGTGCAAAAGTTACCTTGAGGGGTACAGCAGCCCTTCACAAAATCAACAATGGGTTTACTACAGTAACCACACACGACTATTTACAGACATGTGGAGAGCACAAATCACTCAATCTTTTACTGATCGTGAAAATGTCTTCACAGTTAGCATATTATTATATTGTATTATTTAATATTAATAGCATAGCCCTCATAAATAATGACACATTGCTCTCCCCTGCAGGAAAGTACATGTAAGTTCAAGTGCATGCTTTTAAAAGTAAAAAATATTGATATCTGTATCAATGGATCTTCAGATGGGACTGGCTTCTATGGTCAGATGACACTTAAAAAGCATGTGTACTATGAAACATGCATGCTTTAATCTTCCTAATTTTCTGCGGGAGGTCCTGGACGTCCTGTTCAGAAAGATGGCATCATGGTTTCTATCAAAAAAATAAAACCTGTCTGCCTCCAGATGATCCAAAACAAACATCAAAATCAACACAGACATGTGTCACTGAGCACAAAATGAAGTGGTGTGAAGTAAATCATGGTAAATAAGTGCTGTTTATAGGAATAGCTCACTCCCCCAAAAAAAAATGAACATTTGCTGAAAGTGTCCTCACACTTAGACCATCCGAGATGTAGATGAGTTTGTTTCTTCATCAGATTTGGAGAAATGTAGCATTGCATCACTTGCTCACCTCTGCAGTGAATGGGTGCCGTCAGCATGGGCGTCGCTAGGCCATTTTTAGGGGGGCTTTTCAGTCCCCTTTAAATTTCATCTGAAAGCACGGCGGCGCAGAGCGCGAAACAGAGGACAAGGTGTGTGTCTATCGATAGATTGTTATAATATCTGCATCTGTGCAGTTCTGTCATAAATACAGTTTACAAAAGGTCACGGGGGAGCAATCGGTTTCCCATCTACTGTAAAGTTTTGCTCCGTTCACCCCTCATCATACCACAGCTGTTTCCTCCAGCGAAAATATAGCTCTTAACACATACTTTATAAAACGATCATGTTGCTATTTTCATTTGAAAATTGAACTTTCAATATAAAACATATTACTGTGCATGTGGCATTAAAGGGGTCATAGGATGCTACATGCACGTTTACAAGTTGTTTGAACTGAAATGTGTGTTGGCAGTGTGTGTACACAAC